TATATATATATATATATATATATATATATATATATATATATATATATATATAAACTCCCTCCGTCTCAAATTTGATTACAAATTCAGATTTACGAAGTAAAACTCTATATCTTTCGAAATTATTTTATTTACAAATTATTAAATCAATAAAAATAAAAATTACATATTAAAAAATTACGTCAAAGTTTCTACAAAATAAAATGTGACAAAAATATTTAAATTTATCAAATAATCAATGAAAATAGACAAATAAATAAAAATTATTGAAGGGTGTGAAAAAAAATTATAATAAAAATAAGGACAGATAGAATATATGAAATGTATGTATGAAAAATAGTTTTAGAGAGAAGCTGCAGCTTCTCTAAACCCAGCTCGCCGTCAGATCACATCACCGGTCACCGATCAGCACCAGCGCTTCACTCTCATCTGCCTTATCACAGACCTATCCACGATGCCCTTAGGGGAACGCCAATCCCAAAATCTACAGGCAGGCCTCCATGGAAGCGCCTCTCACGAACCAGAACTTTCCCCGGCAGTCTTGGCACAACCTCAATCGAATACATATATCATCACAGAGGCTGTGGTCTTTGAACAACATGCACCTAGTTCTGGTCCTTCTACGAGGAGGGTTTATCTAGAAACCAGTAATTGCAACTTCAAGTATAAGATTGAGGGTAAGATTTTTGTCTTCACTATCTCTGAATTCAATAGGAAATTCTGTATCACTGAATTTCATAGGAAAAAAACGTTTCAATATTTGGTTTGGATTGGACTCTTGTGCCTGGATCTTAGACTCCCTACCGTTTTTCACTTCTAAGGGGCATCTGCGTCCTGAGCATAGGAGAGAACAAAACAGAACAATTTCCCTTGGGTCCGTTTGGTATAAGGAATTGATGGAATTGAAATTGAATTGGAATTGAAATTCCATGGGATTCAATTCCATTCACCAATTTCAATTCATATTTTGCACTATGAATTCCAAATCCACCTAATATTTGTGCTGCCAAACACCAGAATTGGAATTGAAGTCCTCAATTCCAATTCTATCATTTGAATTCCCTGTACCAAACGGGACCTTAACTTCCAGTCTACTAGAATTCGAAATTTCCTCGAGCTCTGTGAACATCACCAAGATGGGAAGACATGCATCTTTTCTACCTGAGGGAATTCAAGGAGATGGGAAGACCTCAGAGCTCAACTAACCTATGAAAAAAGCTTGTTCTAAGTGAGCATTCTCTGTGTCTCGCCTATCCAGTGATGCGGTGTTGATCATCTTTGTTTACGGTTTCCACTGTTTAATTCGCTGTGTTTAGTTAGTTGATTGTGCTTTGTTCAGTGAGGATGATTATTTGTTAAGTTCAGCTTTTTGGGCTAGTCTTGAACTACCGCACTTCCAGTTCATACTACTGAGGCCTTTGATTTTTTGTTGATCTTGCTAGTTACCACAGTTTGGATATTGTTTTCACATTTGGGTCTCATTACATTTCTTGTTCACTGCTGACTATGTATTCAAGCACTTTGTAGCCCCCCTGAATCCACATTTGGAATTTTACTCTCTAGTGATCATTCAAAGAAAGTTACCTCTGGCCTTAAAAGAATCAGGCAAGTGATAACTTTCACACCATGGAAGAAAGAGAAAGTAAAGAAACTTGGAAGAGAAGTTGTTATTCTATCTGTGAAAGTCTGCGTACAAGCTAAAGGAAAAGGAGTATATAAAGGAACCAAAACTACTAGCTAACAGAAAACTGCAAAGCCTAAAATTAAGCCCCAAACAGTGGGGTTAGTTAAACACTAAGTGACAGCTG